CCAGAGAGGGAGAGGGGCTGTGTGCTGACGACCAACCGGAGGGCAGGCTTACAGGGTAACCAAAGGCAACCCTTTGGTTGGTTGATGCATGGAGGGGATTGTAACCATGGTAATGAAACGATATACGATAGAATGATTGTAAAACTAATGTTCTCCCATGTAAACTATCACATATTTCACAATAAAACATTAAAAACAAAGTTAAAAAAAGCATGCAAAAGAAAAAAAGAAAGAAAATGGAAGGAATACATAGGGTCACTGTCCCAAAATGAATTGGCTGATAATTCAAATTTTTAGAGAGGTAGCATATGATCAAGAACTGATGGTACTGAAAGAGAAGTCTAAGCTGCACTGAAAGTATTAGTGAAAAAAAAAAGACTCCAGAAATTGATGGAATTTGAATTGAAATGTTCAACCTGTCCTTGAAATACTCATCGATGCCAAGACATTTGAAAGGCAGTCACCTGGCCTACTGACTACAAGATATTATATTTATGTCTATTACAAAGGAATGTAACCTATAGAATGTGGAAGTCATTGAACAATATCATTAATATCACATGCAAGTAAAATTTTGCTAAGAAAATAATTGAAATGTTTGTAGCAATACATCAACAGGGAGCTGCCAGAAATTCAAGCCAGAATCAAAAGAGGATGTGGAACAAGAGATATCATTGCTAACCTCAGATAGATCTTGATTGAAATCAGAGAATACTTGAAAGATGTTTAGTTGTGTTTTATTGACTATACAAAAGTATTTGCCTTTGTGGATCATAACAAACTATGACTAATATTGCAAAGAATGGATATTCCAGAGTGCTTAACTGTGTTTGAACAGAACAAGGAGATAGTGAATGGTTTAAAATCAGGAAAGGTGTGTGTCAGGGTTGTATTTTTCAATCTGTAGGTTAAGCAGTATTCAGGAAGTTGAACTATGTGAAGAAAACATGGCATTATGTGGCACTGTGGGCGAATGCGTCAGACTGCAAAGTTGTTTGAACTGCAATGTCAGTGGTTCAAGCTCACCAGCTGCTCCTTGGAAACCCTATACAAGGCCACTATGGGTCGGAATCAACTTGATGGCACTTAGCAACAACAACAACAAGATTGAGGAAGGCTAATTAACAACTTGCAGTATGCAGATGACACAACCTCACCTGCTGACTGTAAAGAAGACTTGAAGCACTTACTAATGAAGATCAAAGAATACAGCCTTCAGTATGGATTACAACTCAGTGTATAGAAAACAAAAATCCTCACAGTAGGACCAATAAACAACATCATAATACATGGAGAAAATATTGAAGTTGTCAAGAATTTCGTTTTACTTGGATCCACAATCAGTGCCATGGAAGTAGCATCAAGAAATCAAACAGTCAATTCTGCTGCAAAACATCTCTTAAGTATGTTAAAGAGCAAAGATGTCACTTTGAAGACTAAGGTGCTCCTGACCCAAGCTATGGTATTTCCAGTAGTCTTTTATACATGCAGAACTGGACAAAGAACAAAGAAGATGGAGAAGAATTGATGTATTTGAGTTACGATGTTGGTGAAGAATACTAAAAGTACTGTGGACTTCCAGAAGCACAAACTTCTATCTTGGAAGAAGTACAGGCAGAACGCTCCTTAGAGGTAAGAATGGTGACTTTACCTTACATACTTTGGAATGTTATCAGGAGGGATCGGTGCCTGGAGAAGAATGTCATGTTTGGTAAAGTGTAACGTCAGTGAAAAAGAGGAATACCCTTAATGAAATGGATTGACATGGTGGCTGCAACAATGACTCAAGCATGACAATAATTGAGAGGATGGCACAGAACTAAGCAGTGTTGTGTTCAGTTATACATAGGTGGCTATGAGTCAGAATCAACTCAACGGCACATAACAACAACAATATATATTTGCTAAATGAACAAATGAATAACCAGTGATTGAGTGCATTAAAGTGTAGGGCATTACTTGAATACAAAGCTCATTGAATGACTGATCAGATTCCATTTCCTGTGATCCTGTTCTTTCCCACCCCCAACAGGAAAGGGGAGAGTAAAAGTTCTCCTTAGAGAATTAATGGCAGGTGTGTCAGTTAGGGGACATCCCATGGGTATCTCTTTCCTCTTTTAAAGTGAGAATCTGGGATATTTTTCTGAGCCAGGGTTGTAGGAATTACATTTTGCTTTGAAACCAATTCATTAATTTTGTTCCTGGTGGAGCTTCTGTATATTCCCCAGACTCATTATGAGCTGAGTGGAGTGTCCTGAGACATCTGCACAGTGGCTAGTGGTATAACTCTGGGACACGAGCTCATCACAATTTTGTGAGAAACAGAAGACTATTTTGGGTGGTTAGCTCTCTAAATTTTTATTTGGTGTCATCGAGTTAGCTGGGCAGAGTGTGCACAGAGCCTTTCCCAGACCAACACTTGCTCAAGCATTGCCCTGAGGAGTGGATCTTTGCAGACTTCTTGGCTCTGACCTGTCTCTGCTGAAATATACTAGGTGGAGTGGAAGGTGAATATAGGGAGCTGACTGGAGGTGGGACATGCTGAAAGGGGTAAGGGTAGACCTGATGGATAAGGGGATGATGGAGAGGAAGTGGGAGAAGTCAGTTCAACTTCAGGCTTCAGCCTGAAGAGAGTCAAATGAGTTCAGAGAAAACTCCTTGCTACCAACTGACAAAGGCTATCAACATTAGAGAGCAGAAGATGATAATCCTAGTCTTCTAGGACAACATTGCTATTGTTAGTCAGTCATTCTTTATTAGCACTAGATAGTTCCAAAGTCATCCCACAGATCTGTTAACTCCTTACCACTGTGTGCCCACCTCATTATGGTGTGGGTGGGCATGTTCCATGCCTTGACCTGTGCCGGTCTTGTAATATACCTTCCTGTGCTATAGTCTATCTCCGTTTACTGGCATGTCTCTGTAACTTTCTGTGTCATATAGGCTTTTTCCTATTTGTTTCTATGATGTGACTCTAGGCAGCTTTCATCCTGCTCGCAACATGAGAATATAATTACCTACAGAGGTTCTTCTATACTTGTGCCTGTAAACATATTTCCCCATCAAAACCACAGAGGAAGCTTTAAAAAACATCATATGAGCTTATGAGGGGAGTCCCATCTTAAATCCAGTGAACCAGGGTGTGGAAGCCAGACATCTGCATTTCTAGAATCTCCAGATGTCCCAGAGACATAACCATGACTGAGAATTTCAGTCATGACTACAGGTCCTCAGGATGTCTCTGTGCATCTTACTCCTGTTTCTTTTTTGTTGTTAATGGGTTAATGCGCCAGACTACAAAGCCACTTGAACTGCAAGGTCGGTAGTTCAAGCTCACCAGCTGCTCCTCAGAAACCCTACACAGGATTGCTATGGGTCAGAATCAACTCAACAGTACTTAACAACAACAACTCCTATTACAATTTGTCAATATTCTTTGTCTCTGACAATCCTTCCAGTTTATATTAGGGAATATTCTTGAATTCTGAGTGTGACATTACAGAAGTCAGAGCCACATTTTCAAACAAAGCACCCCCAGATGCCCGCTATTTGTAGAGTGAGCACAGGCCCATCCCTTTCTTTGTAAATATAGTAAATGTGTCTGGAATGCCTACTTGAGGTTAGACATTGTGTTGCCTAACTGTATAACTCTGACATGCCCCCAGTCCTTGTCCTCATACTAGTATAATCCAAGGTTCATATAACAAAGTAGGATTGGTAGTTTGGATGTGTCTAGAGAGGCATTTCTGAGGCTCTCATGTGATATTTGACATTGACATTTAGCTCTCTTATAGTGCCTGCCTGTTGCCCCCTTTCCCCTCTTTCATTTGTCCATCTAATACTTCACTTTCCCTTCGTGTAACCAAGAATTTAACCTTTCTCAAAATGAGGTCCGGTCTTTGCCCTCAGCTGATAAGAGTATTTTTCTTTGCCTACGGTCTTGGGTCACACTGGAAAGTCTAACAATGTGATTTAGAGTAGGGGTTCTGAGTCACATAGTATCAGCTCAACCAGAGGGACTGGCAACCGAGCTCACTGGACAGGCAGCCATAGAGTCTCAATAAAGACTCTGGACATCAACACTTGGGATAATTTCCCTAGTGGACAATATTCCATGCATATTGTCACACATCAATAATGAGAAAAGTAGTTTTATTCTAACTTCATGGAAAGAGGACAACTGGAAACTCTGAATTTGAGGGTTTTTTTTTTACTCTGTTCTATATGCTTTGTCTATTAGTTGATTTTATGTATATCCTTCAGGTGCAATAAACTGTTTGCTATAGTTTGTTGCTATTCAGTTAACTCTGGCTCATGGCAACCCTACATGTGTAAAGAACTGCTTCATATGGTTTTCAAGGCTTTGACATTTCATAAGCAGATCAATAGGACATTATTCTGAGGTGCCTTTGAGTGAGTTCAAACTGCAACCTTTAAGCTAACCATTTGCCCCACAGAGGAATGCTACAATAAACTGTAACCATGAGTATAATAGCTTTCAGCACGTTCTTTACGTCCTCCTAGCAAATTATCAAACCTTAAGTTTGTTATGGGGAACTTCAAACTTGCAGTTTGTGGCAGGTGTGAAGGTGGTCTTGTAAATTGTTCTCTCTAGCTTCTCAGTTGGTTAACCTCTCACACACCATGTCTATCGAATCTATTCCTATAGTTATGCATATACTATTTACAAGTCATTCACTTTTCCTTGTATTTTCTAATTACCTCTGCCTCTATGCTCTGCTCTCTACAGTCTTTCAAGAGAAATAAGGATTAAATCTTGCTTGGTAACCACAGAAGGCAGCTGAGAGGAAATGGATTTTCACTGAAGGAGGCGAGAGTGGGATCCATGTCAGAGATCTGGGTTCTGTCTTTTAGAAGAAACGGAAAATCTTTGTTTTCCATGTATGATAGAGATGTTAGAATCAGGGCCCTGGTTCCTTTCTACAACAACAGCCCAAGATGATATTATTATTATTATTTTGTTTCTTAGGGTAACAACCATGGAGCTCTGGAATCACACCACCGTAACGAACTTCATCCTTTTGGGCCTGTTCAGTCACACACCATATGGTTTTTTCTGCTTTTCCCTGATCCTTCTGGCCTCTATGACTGCACTGGCTGGCAACATCCTCTTCCTCCTCCTGATCCAAGCTGATGTGCGCCTACACATTCCTATGTACTTTTTCTTGAGTCAGCTGTCCATCATGGATCTGACTATGATGTGCACTGTAGTGCCCAAAATGGTAGCCAACTTTCTTTCAGGCAGTAAGATTATCTCTCTGGGAGCCTGTGGGGCACAGATTTTCCTAGTGGTCATGGTAGGAGGAGCTGAGTGCTTTCTTCTGGCAGTCATGGCCTATGACCGTTATGTGGCAGTTTGCCACCCCCTGCGGTACCCTGTACTCATGAATTGGAAGGTCTGCATTCTCATGGCCATGGCAGCCTGGATGGGTGGGGTGACAGACAGTATGATTGATGTGGGCATGGTCTTCAGCTTTCCCTACTGCAGCTCTCAAGAGGTGGATCATTTCTTCTGTGAAGTCCCTGCCCTGTTGCGTCTCTCTTGTGCTGACACCTCACTCTTCGAGGACCTCATCTATGCTTGCTGTGTGGTCATGCTGCTGCTTCCTCTTGGGGTCATTGTGGCTTCTTATGTCCGGGTTCTTATAGCTGTGATTAGGATGCCTTCCACTGAGGGGAAACAGAAGGCTCTAACTACTTGCTCCTCCCACTTGGCTGTGGTGGGTCTCTATTATGGGGGAGCCGTATTTAGCTATATGCAACGGGCTTCCTCTAGAACACCAGCTGGAGACCGAGCCACTTCCATCTTCTATACCATCCTTACCCCAATGCTTAACCCACTCATTTACAGTCTGAGGAACAGGGAGGTATCCAGAGCCCTGAGGAAGATGCTAGGGAGATAGGGAGTTTAGGAACTCAGGCTCTTCTGGGGCATCTGCTGCTATTTCTTGGGTTTCCCCTTCCTTCTTAAGTTCAGGCTCCCCAGTGGTTCATTTGTCTCCTCTCTGTCCTCATTGGGCCACTCTGGCTCCTTGAGACAAGTCTGGAAGCTGAGTAATCTGAAAGCATTTGGGATAATCAGAAAGAAGATGCCATGGTAGCTAATGGTACTTAACCAGTGTCACAATGAATGCTTCTCCACTGAAGACCACTATTTCCATGAAATCAAGGACATTCAATTAACAAAATAAGCACATACATTATTTATATTCTCTTTAGGGATTCCTGGTGTGGCACTGTAGGATCAGCACTGGACTGTGAATCACAAGGTCAGCAGTTCAAACCCACCAGATGCTCTTTGGAAACCCTATACAGAGTTGTTATGAGTTGGAACCAACTCGACTGCACTTAACAACAACATCAGTGGCAGTCACTTTTCTGATGTGCATGATAAAAGTGAGTGGTAACTGATTCAGAACTCAGCTTGGCTCCTTTGTGTACTGAAGCAGGGTGCAGTGCATAGAGCTAAAGTTTCACATGTGGGAATTATGAGATTTTGGCCAAAGTTACTTATCTCTTTGGGTTTCACTTTATTTATTTGTATGATCATTGTTGTTAAGTGTTGTTGAGTCAGTTATAAAACACTATATAGGGTTTATTACGCTGCAAATCTTTGCAGAAGCAGAAATCCTCATCTTTCTCCCATGAAGTGACTGGTGGGCTCAAACTGATCACCTTGTAGTTGGCAGTCCCCAGTGCTTATCCAACAGAGTGTGGCACTATAGGATAAGCACGGGGTTGCCAACCACAAAGTTGGTGGTTCAAACCCACCAGCTGCTCCTTGGAAACCCTATACAGGGTCTCTATGAGTTGGAACTGACTCAACAGCACTTAACAACAACAACTGTCAATATAAGTCTAACATCCCCTAGCACTTATAAACATTCACTAATTAATTTTGGTCCTTAATATTGTTGTTGTTGTTAAGTGCCTGCAAGTCAGTTCCAACTTATAGCAAACCTGTTTAGAGTTTCCAAGGAGCAGCTGATGGGTTTGAACCACTAATCTTGTGGTTCAAACCAATCTTGTGGTCCAGTGCATTATCCTATAGTACCACACCAGGACTCCATAGATCCTTGGGTGAAGCAAATTTTTTTCATCCTTAGGTGGTACAACAGATTCATCTGTTAAAAATTCAATTTCATCCAGAGATATCTCAGAAGAAAGACAATTTGCTTATGAAAAATTAATCGTTGAAAACCTTATGGAGTACACTGTGTTGGAGTTGTATTCTGACACACATGGGATCTCCACAAGTTGGAGTTGACTTAGCAACAGTTTATTTTTAAATTATTATTATTATCTGTAACACAAATTTCATTTTTTTGTGTCTTATGTTTTTAAGTATGTGCCTTCTCACAATTGTACTTTAAATACAAACATCAAAGTATGAAACCTCAAAAACATCCAGAAAGTTTTAATATCCTTCCCATCAGTATGACATCATGGAAAGTTACCGAAGATAGATGTGTCATTCCATGAAATCAAAGATTTGGTGGGGAGGGTCAGTTGAATCTTTATTGTTGTGACCAAAGATGAAATAGCAGTAAGGGGTAAGGAGGAGACTCACAGACAGAACCGGTAGAGATTTTGATCACAGAGACTCTGAAGGGATTTGGTAAATAATTTCTTGATGAATGTTTTCTATAATAATCTCCTTGAACCAATAGAATCAAACATCTCCACTCAACTAGTCAATCACATTGTTCCCAGGAGACTCACATTCATTTCCTGAGAATCTGTCAATGTTTGCACATGTGGCATGCACTCACAATGGTGATGCATGGTCCAGCCCTCAGAGAGTTTATAATCTGGCTAAATTTGAAAACTGAGTGTTCTAGGCAGAGGGGACAACTGAGCAAAAGTTAAACAAAGTATTCTGGAGTGGAAAGAACCAGGGAGAGAATGAAGGAGAGCTGATCAGAGATGTGGCAGGAGCCATTTCACGTAGGGCCCAGTAGGCCAGTGTGAGGAGTCTGGGTTTCAAGTTGAAGAAAATTATGATCTGCAAGGAGATTCAGTATAACCTCCATGGATGCTGTGTGAGAACTACCACTTGGGATGCTTCTATAGTAACTCAATTGACAGATGATGGCACTTGGACCAGAAAAGAGGTGGCAAGAAGTGCTCAGGTTCTAGGTACATTTTGATGGTCTAGCCAATAGTTTTCTAAGATAAGATCGATAATAATTACCATATCACAAGGTTTTATATACTGGAGTTGAGTCAATCTAGACTCATAGTGACCCTACAGGGCAGAGTAGAACTTCTGCCAAGGAGTCCACAACTGTAAATCTTTACCAGAGCAGAGAGCCTCAGCTTTATCCTGCACAGTGGCTGGTGGATTTGAACCACTGACCTTGTGGCTAGCAGCCCAGTGCTTAACCTAATATACCACCAAGGCTCATTTCACAAGGTTTTGTTGTTGTTGACAGGTGCCATCAAGTTGATACCGACTCATAGTGACCCTATGCACAGCGGAACGAAACATTGCCCAATCCTGGGCCAGCCTCACTACCGTTGCCACGCTTGAGTCCATCGATGCTGCCACTTGGCCAATCCATCTCGTTGGGGGTCTTCCTCTTTCCTCTGAACCTCCACCTTACCAAACATGATACCATTCTCCAATGACTGGTCCCTTCTGACAATGTGTCTGAAGTAAGAGAGACGAAGTTTGGCCATCTTGGCCTCCAAGGAGCACTCTGGCTGTACTTCTTCCAAAACAGATCTATTGGTTCTTTTTGGCAGTCCATGACACTTTCAATATTCTCCTCCAACACCACAACTAAAAAGCATCAATTCTTCTACAGTCTCCCTTATTCACTGTCCAGCATATAAGATTATTAAAAATACCATGGCTTGGGTCAGGCACACCTTAGTCCTCAAGCTGACATCTTTGCTCTTGAACACTTTAAAGAGATCTTGTGCAGCAGATTTGCCTAACGCAGTACGTCATTTCTTTTCTTGACTGCTGCTTCCATGAGTGTTGATAGTTGATCCAAGAAGAATGAAGTCCTTGACAACTTCAATATTTTCTC